ATACTTTTGTAAGTGAGAACGTTTATTTTTTACATTAGTGAGGTGAAGTGGTTGGTGGCTTTATAAATATTTAAGGTTAAGTTAGTGTTGTCGTTTGTGTTGTAAAATATACGTTAACGGTTTCGTAAAGTGTCAAATTCACATATAATGGGTAAGGTGGAACGCAGTGCCACAGTACACATGATATGTATACTAACTAGAATTGATGTTTTTGTCAAAAATCTTTTAGAAGAAGTTGCACCCAATTACTTTTATCGTATTAAAAACGATTTACTTCAAACGGGTTTTATTCCTTCAATTAGAATTCGCGAGCCTCGATTGACAGATTATAAAACAAAATTGAAAAGAGAAGTTCAATCACGTTTATACCAAGTATTAAATTTTGTTCAGAATCAAGAAGCCAATTTGAATCCATTAAGATTTTTATTGGAAAATGCTGAAGAAAAACTTTCTCAAATAAATGAGAAGATACAAAATTCAATTACATATTTAAGATCGTTTGAACTTCCAAATGAATTGTTAGATACGTATATGTTAGAAATTAATGAATTTTGTTATAATTCTCCAGATTATATTTTAGAACATTTCGAAGAATTTTTGGAGGATTTCAAAGAAAAGAATAATTTAATAGACTAAAAAATTTATTATTTTTATTTATTGTGAATTTTAATTGTCACTTTTTAACCGTTACTCCCTATTGAAAGTGTCACTTTTTGGGTATCACTTTTTGGGAAATTCTTATATACTCGTCTCCCGGAATGATACACTGTGACCGACAAGAGTGCACAATACACTCTTGCCGGTCAAAGTTTTGCAATCAGAATAAGATTGCATAAGATTGTGTCATTCTGGGAGACATGCAGTGACAATGTCTCCCGGAATGATACACTGTGACCGACAAGAGTGCACAATACACTCTTGCCGGTCAAAGTTTTGCAATCAGAATAAGATTGCATAAGATTGTGTCATTCTGGGAGACATGCAGTGACAATGTCTCCCGGAATGATACACTGTGACCGACAAGAGTGCACAATACACTCTTGCCGGTCAAAGTTTTGCAATCAGAATAAGATTGCATAAGATTGTGTCATTCTGGGAGACATGCAGTGACAATGTCTCCCGGAATGATACACTGTGACCGACAAGAGTGCACAATACACTCTTGCCGGTCAAAGTTTTGCAATCAGAATAAGATTGCATAAGATTGTGTCATTCTGGGAGACATGCAGTGACAATGTCTCCCGGAATGATACACTGTGACCGACAAGAGTGCACAATACACTCTTGCCGGTCAAAGTTTTGCAATCAGAATAAGATTGCATAAGATTGTGTCATTCTGGGAGACATGCAGTGACAATGTCTCCCGGAATGATACACTGTGACCGACAAGAGTGCACAATACACTCTTGCCGGTCAAAGTTTTGCAATCAAAATAAGATTGCATAAGATTGTGTCATTCTGGGAGACATGCAGTGACAATGTCTCCCGGAATGATACACTGTGACCGACAAGAGTGCACAATACACTCTTGCCGGTCAAAGTTTTGCAATCAGAATAAGATTGCATAAGATTGTGTCATTCTGGGAGACATGCAGTGACAATGTCTCCCGGAATGATACACTGTGACCGACAAGAGTGCACAATACACTCTTGCCGGTCAAAGTTTTGCAATCAAAATAAGATTGCATAAGATTGTGTCATTCTGGGAGACATGCAGTGACAATGTCTCCCGGAATGATACACTGTGACCGACAAGAGTGCACAATACACTCTTGCCGGTCAAAGTTTTGCAATCAGAATAAGATTGCATAAGATTGTGTCATTCTGGAGACATGCAGTGACAATGTCTCCCGGAATGATACACTGTGACCGACAAGAGTGCACAATACACTCTTGCCGGTCAAAGTTTTGCAATCAAAATAAGATTGCATAAGATTGTGTCATTCTGGGAGACATGCAGTGACAATGTCTCCCGGAATGATACACTGTGACCGACAAGAGTGCACAATACACTCTTGCCGGTCAAAGTTTTGCAATCAGAATAAGATTGCATAAGATTGTGTCATTCTGGGAGACATGCAGTGACAATGTCTCCCGGAATGATACACTGTGACCGACAAGAGTGCACAATACACTCTTGCCGGTCAAAGTTTTGCAATCAGAATAAGATTGCATAAGATTGTGTCATTCTGGGAGACATGCAGTGACAATGTCTCCCGGAATGATACACTGTGACCGACAAGAGTGCACAATACACTCTTGCCGGTCAAAGTTTTGCAATCAAAATAAGATTGCATAAGATTGTGTCATTCTGGGAGACATGCAGTGACAATGTCTCCCGGAATGATACACTGTGACCGACAAGAGTGCACAATACACTCTTGCCGGTCAAAGTTTTGCAATCAGAATAAGATTGCATAAGATTGTGTCATTCTGGGAGACATGCAGTGACAATGTCTCCCGGAATGATACACTGTGACCGACAAGAGTGCACAATACACTCTTGCCGGTCAAAGTTTTGCAATCAGAATAAGATTGCATAAGATTGTGTCATTCTGGGAGACATGCAGTGACAATGTCTCCCGGAATGATACACTGTGACCGACAAGAGTGCACAATACACTCTTGCCGGTCAAAGTTTTGCAATCAAAATAAGATTGCATAAGATTGTGTCATTCTGGGAGACATGCAGTGACAATGTCTCCCGGAATGATACACTGTGACCGACAAGAGTGCACAATACACTCTTGCCGGTCAAACTTCCGCATTCAAGTTATGAATGCGGAAGATTGTGTCATTCTGGGAGACATGCACTGGCAAATGCCCACTAGAATGGCACATGCAGACCGACAATAGTCCACTGAAGCACTTTGTCGGTCGGAATTCAATGATATTATTCGGAAAATATCTATAATATATATATATTTATGAATATACATCTTTGTTTTTCCATTAATAATAACAATTATTTTCATAAACAAACAAAAAATAATCTCTAAATTTGAATACAAATTTTTTTGTTTTAACTAAAATTGTTTGAATTAATTTCGAGACTCCTAATATAAATAAACACAATTTTAAGCTCGCTAACACTCAAATTTCTGATATTTACAAATTATTAAAAAACATATGTTCATAATAGAATTAATTCAAATCCTAATTTTCCATAATTGAATCAAAAAAAAGTCTCATCACACTTTTCAATGCTCGATTTTTAAAAACTGTTTAAAAATGGAGCTTATATTGAAATAGTGTAGAGACTAAAAATTACCTCAGACTTTTCAGAGGATTGAGTTTCCACTCAATCCTCTGAAAAGTCTGAGGTAATTTGCAAAATTAATTTTCGAAAATTTTGTAATTTTTCAAAATTTAAACGTGTCGTTTCGAATTTCGAAAATCGTAAAATTTTGGCGGGATAAATTTCAATACTATTCAATTTTCAATTAGATTTAAAATGTTTTTGGCGCTATTGGTTTTGACACTTCATTTTCCCGATAATGCGTGAACTATGTAGTTACCTACATCATAGGATGCTCCATGCATCAGATCCAGTGCACGGGATCTGTTTTATGAAGCAAAACTTATATTTTCTTAAGTTTCTAAGATTCACGCACCTCCTGAGAGGGATAACTGTTATGTTTACGGGAAAATTATATCAAAAACATAACAGATTTGTCAATGTTTATCATCAGATAAGCATTGATTAAATTTTCGTTGATTTATCAACGAAAATAACACCATTGGTTTTGTCTAATAAATCAATGGTGTAGCCAGCAAGAAACGCAAATTTTTGCTGGCTTATTTAAATGCATCAAATTGGATTGCTACTTACTAGCATTTCAATTTGATGCATAATATCAATCCCTCTCAGGAGGCATATAGTATATATAATTATCAATTAGATTCTATTTTTTTTTAATTTATTAAAAAAAAAAGATACGAATCCTGCCGGCAAACATTATATGGGCACCATCGTTGATGGAGAACGAAGAAATTTCTTCGTTCGGAGATCGTTTGCCATCTCCAGTAGGATGTTGAATAACATAAATATAAATTTTTTAAAAATATTTCGTATCAAGAATCTAGTATATTGAAAATTTCGAATAATCCATGGTTTGATCCGCGCTTTTTTTTCCCATGAATGTTTAGCTCAATGTAGGTCAGGTATGTGGGGCTTCCAGGGGCTGCGCCCCTTCTAGCCCCTAAAACTGACAAAACTTTGACCGAGTAGTTTTTTGTGCTGAACAAAAAGTGTCATATAAACATCTGTCAAAAACCGCTTTTTAACTTCACTTAAAATGCCACGTAAGCTACGTAAGAATATACGTAAGAGGAAGGGAGCATTGAAACATCCAATAGTAAAACTGACACCACAACAACAGTTGCAACAACAAATGATGAATGACCCCACTATGTTGCAACAAATGTCAAGCAACCCTATGCTTTTAAACCGAGTTATTGGTGCACAGAGTGGAGGTTTAAGAGCGGCACTTTTAGCGAAAATGGCAGGCTATGGTGGAGCTGCAGACGGAACAGCTTATAACCCTCAAAGTCAAATGAATTTGAGTTCACTCAAAAATCAAATAACAGATGTCAAAAAGTCAAACATAGACATACAGAAACAAATAAGTGAAAACGAAAAGAAACTAGAATATGACAGACACACAAAGAAACTCAATGAGTTAAACGTAGAGAAAAAGAAGAAAGAAGAACAACTGAAAGAACTAAGTACAGAGGAATATGCGAAAAAAGTGTCAGAAAAAGCAGCAGAAGTAGCAAAAATGGAACAAGATGTTATAAATTTGAAAAACCATACTACTCAATATAAAGTACTGAAAGATGAAGAGATAAAACAAAAAGCCCTGAAGACATATATGGATAGCGATGAGTATAAAAAAGAAGTTGAAGCAAATGTAAAGGCAGAAAAACTTTTACAGTTGCAAAACCAAACCGTACAGTATGAAAACTTAGCACAAGAAAGTAAAAATAACGACGCAGCCATGCAAAAGGCAATGAAAAGCGCAGAATATATAAAAGCTAATAATGACTGGTTAGATGCCCAAGCCAACGCCAAAGCAGCCCAACTTATAGGGTCAATAAGGACAAAAATACAAGCGGATGAAGACAGTTCAAATGAAGCTTTAATGAATGCTGACTTTAAGAATGCCTTCGAAGCTCTTCATAGTAAGGTGAAACTAGTGAACGACTTCTCATCTGGAAAGAAACTGAAGTCTGAAGGTTTCGACAAAGAGTTAAGAGAAGTAGCACAAAATATGACGAAAATAACAGATGCAGCAACGAGACAGGCAGTTCAAAGTGCCTATGACGCCGTTAGAGCAACTGTTGTGGAAAGTCAAGAAAAAGAGTTACAACAGACCAAAACAGACCTAGTAAATGCTTTCTTAAAAACGAAAAGTCAGGTAGGACATTATGCTGCAGATGGAACATATGTGCCAGCTGGTGGAACTTATATACCAGCTGGTGGAACTTATATACTAGCTAGTGGAACTTATATACCACCAAACCCTCCAAGAGAAGCACCTGCACCAGGACTACCTAAAACATTTACATCGTCACATGGACACAGACACAGGCATGCACCAAAACCAACACAACAACCAACAGTTCAAAATCCAGCACAACAACAACAACCAACAGTTCAAAATCCAGCACCACAACCAACAGTTCAAAACACTGCACAGCAACCAACAGTTCAAAACCCTGCACAACAACAACCACAACCAGAGCAAGGACATAAAAGAAGTAGAGAACAAGGAAACCAAGAATTCTTAAAAATGCTTAAGGAAGATTATGGTTACCCAGATACTCTTGACTTTAGTGACAGATATAAAGAAGCTATTAGAAAGTTCAAGGAAGGAAATACTGACCCGAACCTATTTAGCTTTATGGTTCAGCACCAAATGGGATATAATTTCAAACCTGGAAAATACAAACTCGCTAAGGGATATGATTTAATAGCATATCATCCAAATGACATGAATGAATTTACTCCAAGATATTTGGTGTCAGAGATAAATGATAATTCAACTCTCTTCATGAAACGCGTAAAAAATAGAGACGGAACGAAAGAAGAAAGGCTTATGAATGCGGATGACTTAAATAGGGAACTTGTTGAAAACGGTCTCGGAATATATGAAATGCCAGCAGATGAGGTACAAGAAACTCAACAGGAAGAAGTTCAGATACAACCAGACATGGAAGAAATAGTTCAGCAACAACAGCTAGAAGAGCCTGAAGGAAACGAACAAGTCCCTCCTTTGGAAACTAACTTCACAGAACTAGATGAAGATTTGGAACAGCCGAAAAATCTTGACCCTCAACAAGTGTATGCGGAGAATATGGAATCTTTCCAAGAGTCTAAGAAAAATTCGGCTGACATAGTAGAAGAATATCGAAAAATGTTCGCCGACATACAAAAGACTCCAACATCAGATGAAAATATTCAGCATAGAATGGAAGTACTGAAAGAAAATGTACGCAAATACAACAATCCTTTTTACTTACGACCATATAACGTTCAATCTTTGGCTGAACTCGGTGAAAATAAAAGGTTAAATTTCAACAAAACATATAGAAATGAAACATTGTTTAAAGTTCATTCAGAACCTAACCAATATGGAAACAAACCTACTTTTGTTTCTGCAGACTATGGAACTACAATGAGATGGGGTCATAAAGCTAATCCGGATAGGTGGTTCATAAACTTACAACCACAATTCCAAGAAGTTGTAGACGCAATGGAAGTGAATGGTGAACGAGATATAGCTGGTATTTTAAGCGCGGCTTTAATGCCATTGAAAGATATGAAACATGCAGATATTTTGGACCAGTATGAAATGAACATGGCTGATGGAAATATAACACCTGACGTTCTAGAACATTTATCTCAAAGAACTACACAGAACCATAGAGATGGTATATTTGGTGAAGAGTTTAGAAAGAAAGTTAGGGAGAGAGAAGGAAGAGAACCTATTGTACATGACCTTGCAAACGAAAGTTTACAAAATGTCATAAAAACTTACTTTGCAGACAATGAACCGAGAAGGGATGAATATTTAAGAAAACTCAAATGGACAGTACCAAATGAAATGTTAGTATTGAAAAACATGTTCCTTGACAAAATAAAACCAACTACAGAAATAAACGACGCAAGACTGAAAGATTGGGTAAAAGCTTTCCCATTCACAAAAGATATAGTTGGTAACATGGAAAGAAAACCAGAATGGCTACAAAAACATATATTTGGAAACGAGCTTATTCCATATGGACAAGCTCTGTTTGAAGAGCTTGAACCGGAAACTCAGTTAGTATACAAGTCTCGTGTATGGAGGCACTGCGTTCCTCCATACGCAATACTTGTGAATTTGACACTTTACAAAACCGTTAACGTATATTTTACAACACAAACACAAACACCAACTTAACCTTAAATATTTATAAAGCCGCCAACCACTTCACCTCACTACTGTAAAAAATAAACGTTCTCACTTACAAAAGTATTGCAACTCTTCCCATTGCTGTGCTTCACACAATAGTTCATATTCTTCAGTATCGCTGCTGTCGCTCCAATCGTCAGTTAGTATACAAGTCTCGTGTATGGAGGCACTGCGTTCCTCCATACGCAATACTTGTGAATTTGACACTTTACAAAACCGTTAACGTATATTTTACAACACAAACACAAACACCAACTTAACCTTAAATATTTATAAAGCCGCCAACCACTTCACCTCACTACTGTAAAAAATAAACGTTCTCACTTACAAAAGTATTGCAACTCTTCCCATTGCTGTGCTTCACACAATAGTTCATATTCTTCAGTATCGCTGCTGTCGCTCCAATCGTCAGAGTCAAAGTCACTGTCAAAATAAATGTTAGTAAGTTTTGACAAAGCTAATGAAACACGCTTACCGTTTGTATCGTATGCTTGTATAAACTTTCCATTCTTCATTCCTTCATAAACGCTCAAACTAACTTTACCCTTTCTCCCTCGTATCTGATAGAATGTATTTTCACGAGGAACGAAGAACAAATTCTTGAACTCATGACCGTTGTAGTTTGTTATCTCAATAGTTTTCGTCATTTACATCCAAATAAAATAAAAATAAAATAAAAAATAAACTTAAAATTAATGATATCACCACCCTCACACGTATGAAAACATAGCACAAAAATAAATTTAGGTGAAGTGGTGAGATCTCACCTCTTTTTTCACCTGTTTTTTCACCCACTTGAATTCATTGCTTTATAACTCTCTTCCTTGGTTTCTTTTTAGTTGCTTTCTTCACGTCTGTCTCCAACTTGACTGTCTTTCTTCTTCGTCCGTAATGATACCAGTTACTTCCACCAGTCAATGGGTCAAATGGTCGTTCATAAGGGTTTCCATACATTCCATAAGGTCCGTATGGATAAACCGCTGGTGGAGAAGAAACATTTTCTTTAGTTCCATCGACTCTATTTAAATGCATTGTTTCACCTTTCATCTGGTCATTAAAGTCTTTTGCGTGTTTTGCAAACTCATCGTCCTTTCCTAAAGCATTTTCTGACTCAGTCGCAACCAAATTGGATGCTTTATTTATGAGCCCTATTTTATTTAATCTTAACTTCTTTGCAACCCAGCCTCCAATCTTTCCTTTATTTGCGTCTAATGTCTTTGAAACCCTTCCTCCACTCATTTTATTTACTGCGTCATAAGCTCCAAGTGCTTTTGCTCCAAATGCTAATGCTTTTGTTCCCATTGCGCCTAAAGCTGCCCAAGCTACCATTTACACCATATTAAAATCATCTCTCTTCAATATTATCTCATAAAAGTTCTCGTTACTGGAGAAAGTCAATGAAACATAAACATTCTCACGTGCTTCGCCCTCACCGCTTTGCGGTCTATCTAACTTATTTCTTATATCATCTATACGCTTCAAAATGTCTGAACAATTGCTAACATCTTCTACAACAGTTATTTCATCATGAATGACCTTCAAGAACAAGCTCATTTAATATGCTATTAAAATCATCTCAATAATGAGTCCATCCTTTCCGTCTTTGGGTAGCACAACATCTTTCATTGAAGAAGGTTCGACAAGTCTTATGTTAAACTTACTGACAAAGTTTGTTATACTATAATGCTTCGGCGGCGAATACATGTAGTTTGAAAGACATAATATAGATTCTTCAGCAAATTCACTTATACTGGATTTTATAACAATGTTCTCACGAGACCAAACGCCACCAATTGACAATCTTGTAAGCAATCCTGCTGAACCTTCAACTGTAAACGTCGATGGTAACATTCCACGAAGGTCATCTATTGACATCGTTGAGTCACTGTATTTAAATATTTTCTTAAAGCAATCGTCATTATCTAACCATGCAATAGCTTTGAAGTTTTCATTCGAATATACATCTGCTTCATTAAATGTAAAACCTGACTTCTTTGCAGAGATGACTTTAAAATCTATTGAGTTTGTTTCAAAATTATATGCTATGGTAACTTCTGAAGGTAATGGATGTCCTTCCGCAGTCAGTTGTTCTCTCACTACCGTTTGAAGCTTTGTGTTAAAAACTTTCATGTCATCCCTGTGTCTAGGTTCACATACACAGCAACAGGAAAACTATCTTGCTTCTTTGTTTCATCATTATACCTCAAAACATTAAAGTTCTTCAATAATATTGTTCTTCCTGCTGGAATACTTCGAACCTGTCTTATTTCAATAGCTTTCTCACCTCCTACATACTCTACCCAGTGTCTTGGATATTCATAAGTATACTGACTTTCTTGAATTTTGGTTGGTTTCATCATAACATGTTCATAGTATATCTTTATACTCTTGTCAGTTAGACTCGGTGCTATGTTCTGAATATTTCTGACTTGCATTTTTAATGGAGATAAAATGAAGCATTTAATACATGACGTAGATGAAGACATGAATGAAAGCAGTGAAAAGCTCAACAGTTCTCTCATTCTTCCTTTCAGTAAGGACTATGAGTTCTGTTCAAATGGTGTTTATTTCTATTGTGGAAAGATGGGTTCAGGTAAGACATTTAACCTCATTCGTCATATACTCATAACAGAACGTTTAGGAAATGACTCTTACTATGACCAAATCATTATATCAGCAACTTCAGACTCTATGGATTCAACAGCGAAAACATTTATGTCAAAAGTTCAAGCCTCTGTCGTTAAAGTTCCAGATAGCGAACTCATTGAATTTCTTCAACGTTACATTCGACGTAAGAGAAAATATTATGCTATTGTAGAGTTCATACAGTCAGGAATGCAAAAGACTTCAGAAGAGATGGAAAGAATTATTGACAAACACCACTTACGTCAATACTCAGGAGTTTACGATATGAAACGACTGACAAACTACATTCTATCAAAACTTTCAAAATACCCCTTCAAAAAGTATCCTTCAAACACTTTATTAGTTTGTGACGACTTCGCCGGAAAAGGTTTAGTGTCAAAACCAGACTCACCATTAGCTAACATCATAACTAAAGTCAGACATTACCATTTAACTGTAGCAATACTTATGCAAACATGGCGTTTTCTTGCTTTAAACATAAAACGTCTCATAACTGACTTCGTTATCTTTCAAGGTTTCTCACGTTATGATATTGAACTCATTTGGAAACAGTCAGGTATAACATTACCTTTTGAAGAAATTTGGGAAGCATATAAGTCTCTCATCTCTCCTCGTTCATACCTTGAGATTCATATCATGACTAATACCATTAAAGTCAAAAATATTCCATGGGAACGACCAACATTGTTTTAAAGTTTAACCTTCAATTGACTGATGGTAAACAAATTCCATGCATCTCTGTCGCCATTTCTGTTAATATTTTTGCTGTCATTCATATCATCCACTTCCCCATCCGTTAGCTTTTGAGGATATGTGTTAGAATAGCTGTTCTTAAATGAAGGCTTTTCACCTTTGAGAGCATAAACTCTATAACTTTCTGCATACTTTATGTTTGAACCTCCTGAGCCATCATTGACATAAATTTTTATAGGCTTCCACCCTTTGTTCATATTCCTGCTTCTTCCCTTTGCTCTTTTGTTCAGTAGTTCTACATCTTTATACACAGCACCTGTCTCAGTGAATTCAACAATATTTTCATTCGTTAGCTTTACATTCAAACCCTTGTCGAGTATATTGTTCATTTCATACATATAAAAGGTTTTTATTCTATATGAAATGAGAAGCAAATCCATCTTAGCTGGTGCCGTTAATGTTCCAATTGAACCAACATCAAATGTTGACTCACGAACGACAAACAATATTGTCATAAAGAACTATAGTTCGGAGTGTTTGAAAGAAAAAGAACCAGAGCTGAAATCCGTGAATTTAAACACAGCTTCAAACGCTAACGCTACATCAGATGTTAAGTTAGAGTATCCACCACTGGACCAAATTCTTTCAAGAGAAGCCAACGACAATCCTTACACAAATGTTCAAACAAATCCTTCAGATAACGTAGACCATTACCTTCTTCAGTTATACCAAACAATTTTACTCAAAGACGATAAGAAGCTTTTGATAAATCTTATAAGTAAGAACCAAATAATTCTAACAAAGGAGGACCTTGAAAATGTTATATCACGAAATAACAGGAAAGCAATGTGTCATTGACTATCTCGACCCTGAAATCGAATGCTGTGGTCAAACGCCAATATTCATGAAAATAGGTAAATCCGCATCATTGAAACACCAGGAACTACAGGAGTTGAGTTTAAGTATAAATATTCGAACGAGTATACAAAACTTTCAACAGAATATAAGCTTTGTTTGAAATATGTTTTAGTAAATTAAAGCAACTTATAGTATCTATCCAAAACTTCTTCAACAGTATCGAACTCATCTTCATAATGCAAACCTAATCTTATTGACTTGGTGCAGTTTTCACTAACACAATATTTTTCTGTTCTCTTGACTGACATAACTAATTCATTTGTTTCATCAAACAGCAACAACCAAAGTTCATGACCTAATACATAACATTCATACTTTATATTTTTAGCTCTGAGTTCTCTTGTAAGCTGTTGCATTTAATATTTTCTAAAAAGTCAACTTCAACAGTCATTCGCACTGGTGCCTTCAGTTCTACAGGCTCTCCTTGAAAGTCAACAAGTCTGAATTGCATGTCTTTCAAATTATGAGGACTAATGCGAACCCATTTACCTAAATGAGTTGCTATGACAGGAACGTTTGGAATGAACATTGAATTGACTGCATAACAGAAGGATTTATATTCTACTGAACCTTTACTATTAACTCCTGAAATACTGTGACATTAGCTATTTTTGACTCAATGTACAAACAATTACCATAACATACGTATGGAACAGATTTCATCTCAATCGTTTGTCAACACTTTTCAAAGGAAATGTCATATGGTATGCTCCCAAAAGAAGTTGTACTCTATGACTCATTCTTGGTATCTTAAACTCCTTCGCATAACTGAACTTCAAAAACTCCTGCAATAAGTTTAACATTCATTAAGTTTTCTTCGTTATCCTTGTTTATTGTAGTATTTATGAGAGCATTTAACACTCCAGCTAATGTTTCCATCTTATATTCTACATTATTGTGAAATCTTATTTCGTGCTTCTTTCCATCTATTTCAAGCTCCATGAAATCTGTTTCATCTGTTATAACGAATGAAGCGATAGTATTGAAGTCAACCATTTCTGAATGCAAGTGGCTCATTCTGTAGACCTAAGTTTGTTTGTAGCTTTACTGTCCCGTATTCGTTTGGGTCTGTACTTTGCAAATAGAACAACATTTTATTCTCATTAAAATATGAGTATAGCTGCATATGCGTATGAAGCTGACAGAGCTAAACGTTTATATTTTGGTCAATACTCTCTCACACTTACTGACAAATATATTGTTATCAGTGATGGAAATACGAGAAATACATAACATGGAAGGACTATGAAAAGTTTGACCCTATTTAACTCCATGTACAATGCCATTCATTGTAAATGGTGAAGTTGTCATGAAGAACGACACGACAGTATATAAGTCTGTATATGAAGCGTTAGAATATATGTTGAATTATAATCCCGAAAGATTTGACCCAAGCACTACACCATGTGCAATGCCTTTTATTAAGGACGGTGAAATCGTAAGAGTTCCGGATTCAACGGTTTATACTGCTGTTCAAAACAGTTTACAAAACATTTTAGCGAATATCTTTAATTCAGAAACTACAGAAATAAAATTACCGTATATAACAGATGCTAAAGAAATTAAATCAAAAACAACAACATTATTTACGTCACTTAATGATTTAATGACTTATATCATTAATATTCCTGCACCAACTACAGCATTTGATCCAAACTCGACGGTTTGCAGTGTACCTTTCATAAATGACAGTTCAGTAATTGTTTTAAGGGATTCAACAGTTAATGAATCATTAAAGGCGTCATTAATGAAAATCATTGATTTTAACTCATTCACGAATACATATAATTCATTCATTAATGTTTCATATACTTCTAAAGAAGGTGAGCCAAAAAATTGATAAAGCGGTGTATGAAATAAAAGCATCAACGACGAAATTGAATTCGTTAACTTTTGACGGTGATAGTTTCGTTAATGACATAACATCGGGGAAAACAATTTTAACGAAAGAATACTTAAAATCTCATGTTAGTGAGTTCGTTGAAATTGAAAAAGAAGTGGAATTAAGTTCGATCCACTGAGTTTTCATTTTCAGCTTAGCGAATGCGGGTGTTAGTTTCGCTGAATGGACAACTATACAGAGTGAAATAAATGCAATATGGACGTTTTTGGGTCAAAACGGGAATGGGTGAGCTTGTAAATGCTTGCAAGAACATTAGGTGAAACAGGAAATTTTGTAGATGGTTTAAAAGACTTGTTTCAAATGTTTTAACAAACACAAAGAAATTATTTAGATATACCGTACATAACGGACGGATTTTCGAACAGATAGCAACAAACCCTCCGGTTATGGCTGCGTTGATGATGGTTAGAGATATAAAACCACGTAACGACGGGAACGAAGAACATGAACAACAGGATACTGGTCGGGTTATTCGAGACATTAAAAACGTGTATCCTGAAGTTATTGATTTATTTAGAGGAGTTAATGATTCAATTTCAAAACATTCTATAACCCTCGATGAAGAAGAAGAAATTAACAGATTATTATATTCGTCATTATTGCAGAATTAATGAAGAGAATAAATGAAAAAGGAATTGTGATATCATTAATGTCAGCGATGTAATGATGAAAAGAAATTTTGACTCATTATTTACAAAACCGAAAACAGAATATAGTCTTTATGACGTAATTACCGAATTAATGAAGAAAATAAATGATAATAAGAGTTCTGGCGGAAGAGTTGAATTAGAAGTGAATGTGTTAATGAGAAATTTAGCCGAAAAAGCAGACAAAAATGAGCTTTTAGCTCTGAGTGATAAAGTCAAGAACCACGTTCATTATATAACTTCAGACACGAACAGATTATAACGGACTACCATGGATATTTAACACGAAGTGATGAAGCGAAGACAAAAAATGTTAATGAAAG